AGAAATTTCCAGAGAGCTGTACCCAAGTCCACCTCGTGACTTTTGACTGACAGCAGGATGACATCAGACTTTCAAGTCCCTACTTCCATGTCAACTTTGGGTCACTTTGGCCCAGGCTGACCAGTTCTAATTGAAACTTGTTCATACAGATTTTATGCATAGGGAGAATTATCCTTATCACTCTGAGTTCTGGGATCTGGTCTGTTAATGGTCACAAAAGTCTCCCATTCAGGGTAACTTGGGTTTTTTTGTTGGCTCTTGGGGGCCTGCATTTCTCCTGCAGTCTTCCTTTCTCAGGTAGTTTGCTTATGAATATAACATATCTTGTGGATTTGGGCTACGCATACCTGCATATGCATAGAATTTTATAGAATTAGTGCCATAACCTCACATCATCTACCTTTATCCTTCTCTATACCATGGTAAGGTCTGGATTTACATTGTTTTTTTAAAAGTGAAAGCATATGGGGATCAGCACAGTGGGCCCATTTTATAGAATTAGTCCCATAACCTCACGTTCCCACTGCTCACATCTCTCTGTTCCCTATCAACATGAAAAGCTTATGACAAGTGATTGTGATTATAGTTTTCAAATAATGGAAAGAAAAATTTACAAGACAAATTGAAGGAAGAGTATTACTGTTTTCCACCTCTTCTGAAGACAAAAAGAAATAAAGGTACTTCACCTTGAGCCCAATTCCATATATGGTGAAGGAAGTTCTAGGAGATACTCGAATACTTCATTGATGTATCTTGCCTGAGTCTTTAAAAACAGATGGCTTTGACAACACAGTATTTGTCCTCTATAAGGAATAATAGATAGAGACAGACATAACTTTAAACAATCACTTGTTGCCATAAGCAATATTACAAATCAACCAATTGCAATTCAGAAGCAACCGAAATTGATTAATCTCTGAGTTCACAGATTACCCATAGGTCTGATTACCCAAGCCCTTTGCTGAAGTAGAGTTCCTATATTGACCCCTTACCAAACTAGACTTTCCTAATAGGTTTTGTGTGATCACTGTACATTTTCAAGATAATGTCTTGTACTACTGAAATTTCTTAAAAGAGATTGGGAATGACCACTATGAAAATGGGAATTTATTTGTGTCCAGCCTTGTGGTAAGTGGAATGAATAATAATAATAAATGTAGTAAGGAAAGACATTTTGTTCAATGTTTTTTTTTAAAAAAAAGACTTTTATCATTGCAGATGCGAGCACATGTCAACTCCAGGTGGTTCATTTTTCAAAAGAACATAGAGAGGTTTCTCCATGCAATTATGCCATCTACTTTTATCCCTCTCTATACCATGGTAAGGTCTGGATTTAAGACTTCCCCTCATTTTAAACTTCTGTTCAGCCATTAAAGAATCACAAGAATACTTTTAAAACTTCTCTACAGGTCACTTTCTCCAGGATAAGATACCATGAGGCAGTACTGCGCTGGCACTGGCAAAAAAAGGTGGGAACAAATTATACTATTAAAAAAAAATCCTGCTGATGTGTTGAAATGTCACAGTGTTATAGTTATCTTTATTTCATGAAAATACAGAAATGATGGGACAAGTACCAACTGTTTGCTTTCCAAACAAAAACTGTCCTGAGTACTCAGAGGGCAGAGTGCCAACTGAACAACATTACAGAGAGAGCTTTTGAAGGGAAGAAATTTGAAAAAGAAACTGAGACCAATACTTTTTGGCTTTTTACTTATTTTAATGATGTGATGTGCTCTTGACTTTTTCATCCTGCAATATTCCTATGGGTTTAATTTGTACAATTGGACAGAACTGAAGCACTTATAAAACACTATCAAATTCCAATGCAATGCTATGATACATGAGTTTTGGGCAATTCACCCAGAGATACCATTAAATGGAATTCAAATTCCTGATGATCTGTTTTGCATGGGTGAAATTATAAAAGTTCATAGTGTATTGAATACATAGATATGGAACTGGGCATGGTGATGAGGTTAGCAAGAGAACACAACTGGGCCAGAGAGGAGAAGCCTGGAGACACATGAGGAACACAGAATTGGGAATAGCAAGTATTTAAGTAGAGCCGGAAGGCAGCACATAGGTGTGAGAATGGCTACATGGCCACCGGGGAAGCTGGAGAGGTAAGCTTGAGAGAATCCGAGGGACCAAAGAAGGCTCATAGATTTGGATTTTAGAAAGATCACAAAGATAAATAAAATAGGATCTCTGACCTCAAAGAGATAGAAGTATGGAAGGGAGAAACAGCGACAGACTGTTAGAATGCAGGACAATAAGTACAGAGAGAAATCAGGTCATACAATTTAATTGATTCTTCGGGTTAAAGAACAAAAAGGAAACTGTACTCTTGTGGGGTGTGAATAAAGTCTATTTCATGATTTTAATTTCTAGATAAATGAATTAAGAGTTTTTGCTGTCCTTACAGGTGATAAACAAAGGACTCTTTATCTTTGGATCGCTGATAGCCATTGGTAGTACCTACCTACTCCTGAACTACATGTCACTGAGCCCTCTGGACTACCTGAGAAGACCATGAAACAAGAATAGCTTATTTCCAGAATATGGAGCAGGTTTACCTGCAAACTCTATGGAGTCACTAAAACAAATCCCTATTTCATTAGCCAGTAATATAAAGGTCCAAAGGTAGCAAATGTTTGATTTCTTTGTGACCAAAATTCAGTATCGAAAAATATATCTCCGTTGTGTTGTCTTATTTAATTCACTATTGAAAGATAGTTGTTAGCATATAATTAAACTTAATGTTGAATCTCTCTGTGTTAGTTGCAATTGCTCAGGAATAGGGGAAACATTACTTTTTAAAGTTGCAACATGTAGCTTCCCCATCATGTTTTACACGCTCAGATTGGGTCATTCTACATTTTAAAATTCAATGACAAAGATCTCTTTCACTTCTCAAAAAATAAAGCCCTGGAGGCCTCTGGGAAGGCACTCATTGTGTTTTTTTTTTTTCTTTCTTTAAAGGACGTAGTAGGACTCACAATAAGATTGACAACACTTGAGACTAAAAAAAATAAAAATTAAAAAAAAAAATCACAGCTTTGCCTAACATGTTAACTGAGCTTTTCCTCATCTGGATGGACCTTTTCTAATTGCAAGGCTCAGATTTACTTGATAAAACTGGAAGTATAAGTGAAGTATAAATGAAGTATAAATGATTCAGCGGAGTTCCAAAGAGTTACTGAATGAATCTATTTCATTTCCTGGTTTTCAATGCTACGTATGCCCTTCTGAAGATTAAAAAAAAAAAAAAAGGCCATTAATGCAATAATAAGTGAAGGATAAGAAAATATTTTATTTATAAAATAAACGCTTATATAAGAGAGTAGAAAGTAAACAAGGGGAGACAGCTTTTATAGAAATATGAAGCCATATTTTATTCAATTTCAGACCCTTAGAAACAGTTTAGTAACTTGTTCTTGAACTATATACTACAACAGAACCAGCATTGAACTCGATTTTTTTAAAACGCATTTAATGAAATATTTTCTTTGGTTTTTTCCTTCTTCAATAGGCCAACTGAGCCATTTAGAAGTCCTTCAAACACAATTAATTATAAAGCTGTAACACTAGAAGGAGAGTCATCTAGGAAATAAAAAAATAGGCAGTAAAATAAAATGATTCAGTATTTATTTTCTCTATTGTCAAAGACATTCTCAAGTTCTTGATACACTAATAATCCATATTTAGTATGTAGGGGAAGAAAGTAATAATTTTTCCTTTTACCTATGTTAGATCCATTGGCTGGGGCCCCTACAACAAAAGACAGATTAACAAGAGAAGAACAAACACAAACAGAATTTTATTAACATATATTTCATATATACAAGGGAGATGCCCAAAGAATGAGTACATCTCTAAAAGCTGGCTTAGAACTCCCTGGCTTATATAGCATCTTCAACAAACAGCAAACTGCTAGAGAAGTAACAAGACAAAAGAAAAAGACTGAGTCTCTAGGGGCAGTAACTTGTATAGAGGTTAGTAAAGGGAATTTGTTATAGGAATTCTTCTGGTGTGTCTATAGGCTGGTAAGTGTCTAAGTTGTCTCTGTGATGGACCTTCTCCTTCCTGGTAGAAGAGAGGAGGATACCTCTGTAAAAGTATGTCCCAGTTTTAAGCAAATAGGTGGAAGCCAGAGAGCTTTTCTCTTCTTTCCTTTCCTTTTCTTTCTTTTTGTACCAGGGATTTACCCAGGGGTGCCTAACCACTGAGTCACATCCCCTTTTTTTCCCCCTTTTTATTTTGAGACTAAGTTGCTTAGGGCATCACTAAATTGCTGAGGGTGGGTTTGCAATCCTTTCACCTCAGATTCTAAGCCACTGGGATTACAGGTACCACACCTGGCTCCAAAGAGCTTTCCTTATATCACTTCTTCTCAACTGTCTTCAGGTCAAAGTAATGCTTATGCAAAATGGACATATGCTACCCAAGAGTAGCAGATTCTGGTATCCTATAAGTCTAAACAATGACCCATGGAAAAATGGCCCCTTCACTAACATTGACCATCAGTTATTCAGTGGAATAATTGATGGGCAATGATTATTAAATAATATATTTTATGAATACACTTAAACACTTATTTTCATCCTTATTCAAATGTAAGTTGTTTGCTTACTTGGAACTCCTTTTCTAAATACAGATCTCTTGGCAAATTGTGGGAAAGAATTAAATATATGGAGATACTTCTCTGCCATCAACATCATCTCCACCATGTGTGTTTCCTACTAGTGCATATTAACCCCACACCATGATTACCTTGAAGTCATCTTATTCTCTTTGCTATGATGCTTCCTAGTTGTATCTTCTGGCACTTACTATGGCAACATGTTAGTGCCATACTACATGTGTAACAGCAGTTTGTTTCAGATTGATTTTCATCCTAGAATTATTCCCTTGATAATTTAATTTTATCATATGACATGACTGAATAGAACCCAACACTACAGAGAATTCAAGAAGGTCTAGCTATTTCATACATATGTATGAGACAAAATTTACTTTTACAGTGTGCTTTGGCAAATATAGTCATTTAAAAATACATTTGAAATGAAAATTCTCAACACATTAGAAGATGATGGTGCCAGATGCCCATCTTGTGCCACAAACAGTTTTTCATTATGTAAAGCACCCATTGAATTAAAAGAATTTGTCTTGCTTGTTGAGGACAGAGAACATATGGGCAACTCAGATTTCCTGCTGTGTCACAGAAATTCTGTTGATATTACATAGAAAATGGGAATTCCAGAACAATCCTTATAAGTCCAAATGTGCTGTCCCATCTAAGGCTCCATCTTTCATTTCTATAAAGGACGAACTTGGATTACATCGGCTTTGGACCCACTGGTTCTATTACTGTCATCAACTGATAGAGATTCGTCACTGGTGATGATAAAAACAATGGAAGAAGAATTAAAAGTCACTTTCTTCTTTGGCCTTTCCCCATCTTTCTGTGATATCACAATGGGTCTGATTTGCATTTCATTTCCAACTGCTGGTAGGTCTTTAGCGGGCTGCTGGCACCTCAGCAGTCGGGAACATAGGAGCTGCAAAAGGGATCTTCTAAACTGGGTAGAGGGGAAAAAAAAAAAAGAAAAGAAAGTTGATTTAATAAATAAGGGCCAAATAAAAACTTGGCCTTTAATCTAGGTTAACATTCAAGAAAATTAGCTGAGCTTAATTTGTTGTTGTTGTTTGTTAGCGGATGCAGGGTAAGCCTCAGATCTACCTACAACATCCTAGAGTTCTATGTCTTTTATTTATTAAAATTCTTATTAAATAGACCACATAGGACTATTTAATACCATATAATCCTTACAAGTTCAATGTTTATGCACCTTCTGTGAGGGTGAATTTGTCTGTTTATTTAAGGGACTTTGAACATGAATTCAGTCCACAAACATTCAGTCAGCACCTTCTACTGTACTATAATCTACAAATAATATAAATAGAAAAGACAGAGCCCTTCCTGGTAGAATTAATAACCTAAATTATTCAAATATTCCTTTAACCTATTAAATCCTAAGTTTTCAATTCTGCAAACATAATAAACATTCTCAAATATTATTTCAAACTTACCATATGTGGTACACCTATTGCTTAATTTAAGTTTTTATGTGTTGCACATTTAGAACAATGGGTTAATTAGGTGGAGAGTTTTTTTAAAATAAAAATTACTAATCAGTAGGGTCACACACAGTATCTGTGCCAAAAAAAAAAATGTTTTCTCATATAAAACATGGACAAGAACCATTGTCTTATTCATTCTTGTTTGTTGTACATTTAGACTTTCTGTTTAAAGCAAGTTCCCAGGAAACAGAAACAACATCAGGATCATTTGGGAGCTTATTAGAAATGCAGAATATTGGGCACAGAGACATATTGAATCAGAAGATGCATTTTTTACAATATTTTGAGATGTAGTACACACATAAAAAAGTTTAAGAAGCACACATCTATAGTCCATTGGTTGAAAGAAAGGGTACAACAAGTAATTGTTAGTGAATGCATTTATAATTTGACTATTGAGATTGTGGTCCCTCATTTCATAACACATAAATAAAGTAAGGACTAAGACTAGAATTTATTACTTTCTTTGGAAATATTCAACATTTATTTTGGCAATATTCAACATTTCTTTCTATAAAATCCTTGATTTGGATTTTTTTATCATTGAAGCTATTCTGAATTACCTCTATAAAAGTATTATATTTTTCCAACCCCTCCCCCATGGTAAAATCAATTACAAAGCTTACCTTTCTGATCATGAAGATATAAATAACTGGATTGTATACAGTGCTGGATTTAGCAAAGAGATTAGAAACAATAGATACTGTTGGAGTGACGCGTTGTCCATAACCATTAGCCACTAAGAAACAGACCACAATATAAGGCATCCAGCAGATCAGGAAGGTAAATACCATCACGAAGCACATTTTGGCCAATTTCTTTTCATATCTTAAAATCTTGATCACCTGAATTGTCTGAAGATCTTCAACACAGCGAAGCTACAGAAAGGAGAAAGAAAAGGGTTGAGAAATGAATCATCTTCTTTTGCTGCTTTTAATAAAATATGCAACTAGCATTACTGGCCCTGCCTTTATGGTGAGAACTAAATGGGATCCTGGGAGGCTGACTTGTGTTCCAAGCCCTGCAGCTGGGCAAAGCCTTCATCTCTCTGGATCTCAGTCTCTTCAATAGTATCTTAGATTCTTTCATGGTTTTTAATACTTTTCTAATTTGTTCAGTGAGAATAAAATAAATTATCCTGCCTAGACCTTCGAAAGACAGCATGAAAGAGACATGATAAAATGGAAACAATTTCTCCATGATTCTTAATGGAGCTTCCATTTAGAGCATTAATTGGCAAATTCTCAAATCAGGCAACAAACCCATGTCATGTCAGGAGCTCTGCACAGTTAAGCCCACAGCTGGTCTTGATGAGAACTTAATCCCCAATGAATTCTTGCTGGAAACTACTGTGCCTTTCAATTCACTGCTAATAACTATAAACTAATAAGTAGGATTTGGTGAGGAATTTCTTTATGGTTGGTTTCATCAGAAGCTTGTTTGCAGAGAATGGCATTTGATAAAACTCAGGGTGCCTCATTCCTCTAAAATCAGCACATTTACTAGCTTGTCCTCATTAAAAGTATTGAGGAGTAATGATGTAAGTTAGAAAGTTCTTTGAGTTTCTTGGGTAACATTTTGTAGACCTTCTCTTATTGTTATGAGAAATGTGTTATTAAGGAGATTAAAAGAATATTTCTGCATTCCAAAAATATATTCTTAAGTGGTCACTGTAAGAAGTTATACTGATTTTGCTACAAAAATATAAGTACTTTATACATTGATTTTAAAAGAAAAGTATCTGGCATACTATCAATACTTCATAGCGATAGTTTTAAACTGGGAACTTTATTATATTTCAACAAACTCTTAAGTGAATCTTTTAATTCTAATATTATCATAAAAGCTAGAAGAAATTATAGAAATCATTAAGATGTGCTTATAGTGTTAAAGCATATATTTGAAATTATATCCTTAAATTATTGATGTCATCTAAATTTTATTTAAGAAGCTATATTCACATTAAAGTCACATATTCAGATTGACACAGAATAGAGGGAAACACAAAAAATTAAAATGTTTGATTACTTATAATAGAATTCTATTATACCATCCTGTGTTAAAAGAAACTATTTTATTGAATGTGATAGGATATTTTTCTATTTTTCCTAATGCCACTCTTTGGAGGGAAGGCATGCTTCCTCTAGTTTATAGAAATGTTGTGAGGTTCTGGTAGAAGCTTTAGATTAGAATCAGACAATCTGATTTTGCTCCCAGTGTGATTTTGAACAAGTCAATTACATTCTCTAGGAATAAAGATGAAAAGAAGTTTAAAACAGTCTATGAGAATTAACAGAAACAGAGTTTCAGTTTCATCACATGTATGTGGAACCAAATTGTGCAGTTGCCTTTGAGATTATTTATTTACATGTGAAATATTATAGAAACTAATATATGCACTTTTATGTTTCTATAAAATATTTATAATCATCATTTTTTGATTCTTCAGAGTTTCAATTAGCTAGTTTATAACCATATCTGATTATCTTTTCTCCAAGCTCCCACTGTCTAGGTCCTAATAGTTTTATTTGTACTATTTTCTGGGCAAATTATTTTTTCACCATTTATCAAAGCAGAGTAATTATTTATTATTTTGAAATTATATGCATGCAAGAGAAGTTAATTTAAGCAAAGGTCTGTATTTCCCCACACCCTCTTTAGTGTAAGGAGAAGGTCCTGACCAATATTTCAGATTATTAGGGTTTTTATTTGTGAAATTTCTATAATCATTTCTCAGTCTTTTTGACTTTTTTTTTTTAATTTCATCACTCTCATTATTCCTTGACTCAACTCATTCAACATTTTTCAAATTAACAGCTCTACTTCAGGTCTCACCTTCTTTATTCAACCATTTGTATGTATTTTTCAAAATTACTGTGGATGAAGCAAAAGCACATGTACAAATTTGTCCTAAAAAATAACCACTTAAGAAAAATTCTCCAGAATTTCCTCTAACAGTATTATGTTCCTAAGATGAACGGCTGATGCCTTGTGCCCATTGACCCAGACACCTGAATATCTTCAAAAACTTCACACAAGCTCTTATTCTCAATGAATAGCTATGTCACCACTACTATTATGAGTCACTTCTTTCCGAACAGGGGAATAGAGGAAAATTACATGTATGCACTGTGTTCTATGTTGAGGTAATATCACAATCTAAAATCAAATTTCTTTAAATTTTTATCACTTTCCCTGTCTTCCCTCTCTATGCCCTCCATAATTAATTTCAACAATAGTGATTGATCACTTATTTCAGGCAGGTACAGTTTCAGTTTTAGAGATCTGGCCTTTGCTCTTTGTTAGAGTCTGTAAACAAGTCTGGATGGCACCTGGCATTTTGCCAGAGGGAGTGGTTTGTGAAAAAATGCCAGTGAGCCATTAAGTGTGGAGATTCTTGATTGGTTGACTGCTGTATCTAGTTTATGTTAATTAAGATAAGCTGTATGGAATGTATATATACCGCTCTGGTCCTACAATAAACGGCTCCCACTCCAGCTGTATCAATGTACACAAGTTGTTTGTCACCCACCGGTTATGGCGCCATCCAGACTTGTTTACAGACTCTAACATTCAGCTCTAGAGAATCTCACTATTGGGTTAGGGTGACAGATGTACAAACACTTGCTTTAGTATAAAGGAGGGAAGCAAGGAGGGTTATGAGATGCACCAGGCTGGATAACCTGTCCTGAGGGTGAGTTAGAGCAAGAACACCCTGATTGCAGCCTTTTGGGGAGAGGAGAAACTGGCCAAGTAAGGAGGAGTGATGCTATAGAAGCTATAGAGGGAGGGAGGGAGAGGGGGAGAGAGAGAAAGAGAGAGAGAGAGAGAGAAAATGTGCTAAGGCAGAGAAGAAAACACCATGTGTCAGGTTCTGGGAACAAGAAATGCTGCAATTAGATGGAGGTGGCAAGGAGAGGAGTGTCAGGAAATAAGGCTGAACCAGTAGATAGGAGATGCCACCCAAGACCTGCTAGCCTTACTCAAAGGCTTCATTTTCAATCATGAAAGCAGTGGAACCCCTGAAGGTAATATTTAAGAACAAGTACTCTGTTGGCAGTGGGCAGAATACAGGTAAGAGGAAAGCAAGAATAAAAGAAAGAGAACTAAGATTCTTTTGAATTGAGTCTGTGGCAGTGAGAGAGGCAAAAATGGATATATGGGAAAATCTAAGTAGAATAGATAAGAATTGATTCACTAGTTGGGAGTAGGGGAAGAGATGAATGACAGATAGTCAAGAAAACTCCCTAATTTTGGGGTTAGGTAGCTAGGAATGGTGATCATTCAGTGAGAAAGAGAATGGAGGGTAGGGGATTTGGTAGAAAAGATGGCAGATTAATCTCTGTATATGTTGAATTTGACAAGCCTGTGGACCATCGCAATGAAGGTGTTCAATTGAGTGTGAGGATTGAACAGAAATCAGAAGAAAGACCTAGATTAGAGATACAAGTTTTGAAGTCATCAAACTTTTGTTAGAAAAAAATCTTGGCAGTACATGAATTTACTGAAAGCCATTGTGTAGCAACAGATGAGAACCAAGCAGAGAATGCTGGGGAGAAACAAGAAAGAGAAGCTCTTAAAGGAGCCATAAGAAGATGGGGCTGGAGAGTCAGGAATGAAGGTAGCAGAGAAAAGCATCCTTGAAACAATAAGGGGAGAAAGTCATAAGTAAGTAGACGTCATCAACAGTTTCATATACCACAGATGCCAGAAAACAATATAAATAAGAAATGTGCCCATTGGATTTAGGAGATAATCAGTGACTTTAAATGAGAGCTATTTCAGAGAGTGTGTTAGAGGAAGGAGGCACAAATTTGCAAAGAGTTGAGGAATAAATACTGTATGAATTTACTCAGCTACTGACTCCTTGAGCTACAATAGAAATTTATTTCTCACAGTTCTGAAGGGTAGGAAATCCAGGTTTAAGGTGCTGGCAAGGCAGGTTTCATTCTGAGGTCTCTTCTCTTGACTTGCAAGTGGCTGTCTTACTATTCGATCACCCAGAAGGGGAGTGAGAGAAAGATCAGGCTTTTTGTTATCTCTTCTTATAAGTCTCACTCTCATGACTCGATCTAACCCTGGTTATTTTCCAAAGGTCCCACTTCACAGGGGGTTAAGTCTTTGACATCTGAATTTTGGAGGGCACAAGGCAGGAGAAGCACATTTTATATGCTCAATAAATAGAGGTTAAATAAATATTTATTGAGTTACAATATGGTACAAAAGTCACCAGTGGTTCTTTGAGTTAGAAGTGAAAAGAGAGAAATAAAGTAATAGGGAGAGGAAGCTGAGAGTAAATTTTGCTTTTATTTTAAGTTAGCATAGCTATATGCTAAAGAGAAAGAGATAAAAAGAATGGAGAGATTGAAAAGTTAAAAAATAAAATTATTACACTTGAGAAAAGACCCTAGGAAAGAGAATGTAATGGGAATTTAGAATTAGCTTTGTCCTGGGAGACTTCCCCTGTCACTCAACAACTAAAGAGAGACACTTAAGAAATAGTGTTAACATAGAGGTTTTGATAAAGGAAGGCAGGGAGAAGTCCTTGCTAATTGGCTTTATTTCTTCTAACAAATAACAAGCACAATTATTTAATGATAAGGGATAATCGGTAAAAAATTAAAATGAAAATTGGTGATTTTTAATAGCCATGGTGTGAGAGAGTGCACCTATAGGGATACAAAGATTGCTAGACAGGCCTCAGAGGACATCTAAGTACTTTCTTTTTTGTCTAGCAACTCTCTACATTTTGACTATAGCCTTGGAGAAAACAATTGGATTGGTCCAGGGATTTTTTTTTTCCCCCAATGAAATGAGTGTAAATAAAGAAAGTAAAAATGTAGGACTTGAGGGTAATTAGTTAGGATTTACAGTGATGCCTGGAACTAGGTTTGGTTTAAAACAAAAGGTGAAAGTTAGAGGTGTTTGAAAGAGTGAGCAAGAGACTAGAGTGTTTTGATGAAAGAAGAGAGCAGATGGAGTAGGAAGAAGCAGTAGTTAAGGAAACCATCCATGGCTGAAGTGGGAGACTGGGACATGGAGCATGCCTAGACTGTTGGTTAGTTCAAATGTGCCTCTGCTGCCTTGCAACATGTAATCTATTTGTGGTCAGCTCTGGTCCTTTATGGCTCTCATGGGATTTCCAGTGTCATTCTGTAATAGTGATTCCATGGTGATCTTTGGGGGGGAAAAATCATGAAAAGCATGGAATTCTCTTTTTAGACTTTCTAAATTCTAAGAATGTCCCACAATGTAGGGCTGTGTTGTTGTTGAGTTTGTCTGTCCAGAATCCCTTTCTGTCCTTCTTTTGATGTGCAGACAGTAAGTGTTATTCCTCATTTATCTTTTCATGGAGTGACTCAGAGTACAAAATTCTGCCAAATGGAAAGTCTCCTAGAGTTACTGCAACTCTGGGCAACTACCAATCATGTAGGAAGTGTTTGATTTTTTTTTTCCATCCAAAATATTCTGCCATGGACATGTTTTTGAGGAAAGACATTTGTGGACTTCAACTCACCATTCGAATGGAATATAGAATATGGCCATAGCAGTGGGCTATGACACCCACAGGCACCACCAAGCAGCCAAGAAATAAGAAAAGCACAAAGGAGGAATCGTTGGCATCTTTGGATTTCCACTCCACAGTGCAGCCTAGTCCATGGACGTCTAGGATGTATCTGTTCCAGCCCAGGAGAGGTGCTCCTGCCCATGCCAATGAGTACAGCCAGATGTAGGTAATGGCCCTCCAGGCCCAGGAAAAATTGATCACTCTGGCATGGACCACACGAATATAACGTTCATAGGCCAGCACAGTTAGGGTGGTAATGGAAACAATGCCTGCAAGAAGAGAAAGTAGAAAAGTATAGCATACTGCAGGGGGAAATCAGACATAAGAGGAATAACACATTCTTAACTGGAAATACCATATGGAATATCTGAGACCAATGGAGGGCTCTAGAAGTTAAAAGATCCAAGAGTACTAATGCCCCGGATTCCCCCAGGAAATTAAATCAGAAATGTATTTATTTCTAAAAGAAAATGTTGAATAGAAAATGGCCTGTGAATTGTAGTGGGACAAAAATAAAAGCCCTAAAAATCAGGCCTGTCCTAATGATGTCACTATTGTATCAAATTTTCTGCAAAAGAGAAACTAGAGTGAGACAGGATCAACTATATCTTTTAGTTCTGCCTTCTCTCTGCTATTAAAGTCAAAATGGGTTCCCCAAAGCTCAAAATGGCCAGTCAGGGTGAAATTGTTCAAAGGACTCCTCAACCTCCCCACTAACAGATGTCAGCAATAGGAAACTTTCACCTGCAAGGCTTGCTGACGAGGTGGGGGAAGTCTTTGCTCTCATGGTCTTCATTTATACCTCTGTTTTACAACAAATGCACTTTAACAATATTATTTATGTTTTTCTCTGTTGCTCCTCAGAGAGTGATTTATTTGCTCAACAAGAACCTATTGAGCATCTACTGTGTATCAGCTACTGCACCAACACTGGAGGTCCAAAGATGACTAAGAAGCAGAGCTCCAGATGTCTGAGGGGAATGTATGCTACAATTGTGAAACAACATATGGGAGTCACAAAAAAAGGAAAAATCTGTGCACAAGGCAGGAGAAGCACATTCCAGGAAGAATGAAGAATCAGGTACCAGAGAATGAAGGTGTAAAATAACAGGAAGAGTCCATTAAAGATGACAGTATTCATAGATGTCCTAGATGAGAGGAGACAGAGAAATTAGAGAGGCAGAGGTGGCCACTCTGAAAAAGGCTCATAGTTTCTAGATGAGATTTAAAAAAAAAAAAAAAACTTTTCCTATATGAAATAGTCAATTATATAATAGTCTGCTACTCTCAGTAGGAATGTTTGTACACTGTTTGGTGGGATAGAAATCAATAAAGGCATTGTTTCTACTGTTAAAAATAAATAAATCTGCTACTCTCTTGTCCTATTTAAGTATGAAAATAACAGTTAAATTCTCTTCCTTCTTGAGAAAAGATGAGAGAGGAGGGGAGGAGTAGGGAGGATAGGAAGGGCAGCAGAATAGAATAGACAATATGATTGATGTATGTACATTCCATGTATGTATTATATGTTAAAATACATTCTGCTGTCATGTATGACTAAAAAAATTTTAAAAATAAATTTAAAAAAATTCTCTTCCTTCTTTTGCTTCAGAAAGGATACTCATTCCAATAGTAGTATAGAACTTGAAACTTAGCCCAAGGCTATGGGAACCAGCTTGAAGGCTATTGCCAAGTAGAGGCAGGATGTATGTGCCCCAGGGTATCATTAAAGGCAATCAAAGTGAAATCTGGGTTCCGGAGACATTTAGCAATTAGTATCAACCGAATCCATCTGCTTATTAAATGAATGAAATGAAGGAGAGAGTAAAAAAATAACTTGAAAATTTCTAACCTGCCCAATGAGTAGAGAGTGATTATATTAAGCAAGATAAAAGTTACAAGATATATGAACAGATATAGGGAAGAAAATGAAATTGTGAGTTTCCTAGAACACATCAACATAAGTATTTGTTGGACAAGTGGATGGAGAAAAGTTGAAGAAAATTGGCTCTAATAGAGAATAAGACTGGTCTTCCAGAAGTAGGTAAGAGTATGTTGGGGGATAGGGTTGCTAAGAGGCCTGGAGCAAGTCCAGCTCCTAATAAGTAGCTCTGTAATTTCTGACAAATCATACAATCTCTTTAGGCCTTAGTTTTTATTTTCATAAAATTGAAGGTCCATTCCCATTATAAGATTTTGTGATTCTGCTATTATAAAAATATGAAATGAAGAGGCACTTGACTCAGAAAGAAACTGGTAAAACAGTTAATATTTCATTTGTACATGATAGATTTGTTTGTTTTTGTTTTGGGGGTACAGAGAACAACATTATTCTCAGAGTTCAATATACATGTTATACCATAACTATTCATTAAAAAAATAAAAGAATGTTTACTAAATAGTGAATAGAAGAAGGTTGAGTTTTACAGCACTGTGAAAGAAACACTTTATAAAGTAGTGATAATAGCAAATGATGGACTTAAATTCAAATTATAGTAAGTAATTGTGAGGACAAGGAAAGCATCAAATTAGATGTTCTGCCTTTGGAAATATATTTTTACTTTATACATTTTTAATCTAAATAGTGATATCCTTTCTTTATTTGTTCCTAGAAGGATATCTAGAAATCTAAAGTTGGTGACATAATGACTCTAATGAAACTTTTTTATTAAAATATAATGGCATTTACTTTTATAATTCACTTTAAATGCCAAAACATGGTTTGGCCTTCAACTTTAAGTTAATTTACAATGAATATTATTTAGTCCTTCATAAGCAAGAAAACATTGCAAATGATTGCACTATTGTACAATATTATATAATTTTAGTAAATCTCAATGCATATTAAAGATAAATAAATGAATTCTTAGGGTTAGAGCAGTAAGCTGATATAATAAGCTTGTGTGAACTATAATTACACTAACTTGTTCATTCATTCATTTAGTTATTAACTATTGCTTATCTACCTGTCAATTATTATTCTAGAAAATACATATAAAGAGATAAATAAATCCCTCAAGAAATTTGAAGTCTAGTAATAGAAAGAATTTTGAAAACAAATAATTAGTGAAATATTAATAAGAAAATATAATAAAGAGATAGAGAATAATTTAAGGCATGGCGGAAGAATACAAATTAAAGGATACAATAGTATTGTCAGGGTGCCAGAGCTGAATATGAAAAACTCAGCTTTGTGATGAGTTTTTTAGAATAGTTTTTGCCCATAATTATGTGCCAACAAGCACAATAAATTTCAAGTGTCTGACTGACTGAAATCACCTTTATTACTAATCATGACAAGTTAAAACCAAACTAAGAAGAATGAACCTTGAATTTCTGAGGCCCTTCTGATAGCATGGGTGTATAAATGAATGACAATGGGAGACTAATTTGGTTTTCAAGGGTTATCCATCTGAAATTATCTCAACTGCATCCTCCTTGCAAAATATGCAGCAGCTTCCCTCTCCTCTTGAACACTTTACTTGGGTCCTCAGTTAAAATTACTTGCTGTATTTTATTTAGTTTCCAGAACACAGCTTGGGAAGATGAGAATGAGTGGACTGTTTTACAGCAACTTTCTTTACACACACATTTTAGTCAGCCTGGGATCCCTTTTATTCCATGTGTACATCTGTTTCCCTTAACACTATGAGAAGAAAAAGGAAAGATGACCACTACAACAGGGCACTAATTGCATACCAGGCTCCAGGATAATCATTCTACGTATGGTAACCCCCCTTCTGGAAAAAGAGGTCTGTGGTTCAAAAGGGCTAAGGAACTAATAGGTGGTGGAGACAGTTTTGAGAATCTGGTACTGATTTCAAAATTCATGATTTTGCCTTTACACCACCTTCTCCTTTCCCACTGATTTCACTAAGGGTGAAAGTAATGTTCCTATTCTTCTGAAAAAGCTGCAGAATAATCAGGTATTTATGACGTGCCCATCACTGTGCTGAGTAGGTCCTGTAAAAGGAATTAGAGATGCATGGTCCCTATCCTGGAGGAGACTACAGTATTGTATTTTAATAAATCCAAGACTAACTCATACACAACATTAGAGGACAATGTAAGAGAATACATTGTTAAATGTCTGCTGACAGAACAAATCAGGAAAAGTAGATCTTGGTTACTGTGTTGTGGGGGTGGCTTCAGTAAGAGATGAAAGTTTAAAAGGGCCATAAAAATGACAGAATGGTTGTTACAACTAGAAAGGATCAGGCAATCATTTCTGGCTAGAAGAGCAACTTCTACAAAGGCAAAGTAAGTTGCCTTGAATTCTTGCAACAGTGCCTTGGTATAGGCATGGAGCTAAGCCTGAGAGGTGAGAAGGGGTGGTGAGAAGCTGAACATATCTCCCATGGCTCTCAGTGGTCTACAGCAGGAATCTTCAAATTGTTTTCCTAGCATTTCCCCTAGTCAAATTTTGAAAAACAATATACATTCTAAGATATTTAAAGGGTGGCATCTATATTTTTAAAATATTAAATTTAAAGTATTATGTAATATAAATATCAGCATTTTAAGATAAAACTATTATCTGACTCTTATAATTATATCCAAATGCATCTAAGGATTCATAAATATATTAGTGATTTCATATACATATTTTATGTGTTTATAAATAAATATATATAACAATGACCAATCATTTAAACTTACATATTCATTCTAATTGTCTCCTCAAATTTTTATCTCAAAGAAACATATTGGTGTGGCTGAGAGATTTTAAATTATTTGTTGAATTCTGCAAAGTTGTACTTTGAAACTGAAATTTTAAAATTTCCTCTGCAGTATGGCAATATGTAAATCAATAGAAGTGTAACTGATGTGATTCTGCAATCTGTATACGGGGTAAAAATGGGAGTTCATAACCCACTTGAATCAAAGTGTGAAATATGATATATCAAGAATTATGTAATGTTTTGAACAACCAACAATAAAAAATAAACAAATAAATAAAAATAAAAAAATAAAATAAAATTTCCTCTGCACAATAAGGTTCTAAGTCTTTAAAAAATTGTCTTTGGGCTGGAGGTGTGGCTCAACTGGTAGCACGCTGCCTGGCATGGGTGGGGCGCTGGGTTCGATCCTCAGCACCACATAAAAATAAAAATAAAAATGTTGTGTCTATCCAAAACTGAAAAATAAATATTAAAAAATTCTCTCTTTAAAAAAAATTTGTCTTATAGATTAAGTTTTCAATTTATATAGCTAATTAAACTGAGTTATAATTTATATTACTATAAATTGATAAAAATATTTTGTTACA